TTCACCAAATGAGTAGAATAAGAAGAAGAGGAAGACATCAATGGAGGAGAACAAGGGATCCATCGACCGTGGAGAGAAAACGAAAGTGGAAGGAATAAATAAAATTGAAAGTGAATTTGGAGATTTAGGATATTAGGTTTTTGTTTTGTTTGGGTGTTATATAAACAAATAGGAACTCGTTTTTTTTTAACAGAAGATATTTTAATTATATTTTTTGTGGTTCGGTAGTACTGATAATATTTGGTAACACTATATAAGGTAGTTTCACATAAAATGTAGTACTGATAATATTGGGTAACACTTCATAATTGTTCATAGTTTTACTAATAATTTTACATAGTTTTCATTAATCGCATAAACGGTTACAAACATAAGGAGAGTACAAACATAGAAATTTACTACATAATTGTTTGCCAATTAGAGGTTGGTCTGAATTTCGTTAACCTTCGTCTGAAGTTGGAGGACCATTTGCTTAAGGTCATTAACTTCTTTGTCATATGTTTCGACTCGAGCTTCTAAGCCACTCACTTTGGTCTTCAGGATTAATATCTCCTCAACCACTACGTCGTCGAAGAGTTTCCAAATGTGGCAATCTCCATCCTAAACAATCAAAATTGTTTAAAATTTAACGAATGAAACAATGAAGACAAGTAGATAAATTCCTTACGTAAATGTTTCCAGCACAAGTGTACTATCTTCTCCTATTTTGCTGACCAAATGTCTAAAGTCTTAACAACAGCATCTGCTCCACAATAACAAATTTTTGGAAAGCCTTTTTGAACTGCCTGCCATGTGAGAGGAACTTCGTAATCCGACAAACTCTCTCCCACAAAAGTATTTTCATCCGAAGAGGGGGAGTAACTGTTATTGGAACCAGCATCCCATGAACCGAAGATTGACAAATGTCTTTTGCCCATGTTTCTGTATTGATGATTACAGTAGTTAAGTAACAGAAAAATCCCCAAATTCAAAAAATCTTAAACCCTAAATCCCCAAATTCGCCAAATCTAAAATCCTTAAATCCCAAAATTGAGTTGAGTTAATCAAAATTTGTATAGAATAGAGCGTACATTTCTTCAATTTGGCCTCTTTCTTCAAACTCTGTATAATGGAATAG